CTACTATTGTTACACGCTACTCGGCATTGTTGGAAAATCAGGCCTAGGGTGTCTCAATGTAAGTGCTTTTTTGAAAAGCTCGGGCCATGTGGCTCACCCAGGCTCATGCTACAAGTCAAAAGCAGAGCTTTTCTCCCTCTCCCTTCCTTTCTCGAAGCTGTCAATAACTGCTCCATGGTTTATATATATAGCTACATTTCCTAAACTGCTCTTAGCTACATTTGTATACATGTAATGGTGATTGTCAGAGTGCAAAAATAACTCTTCTCCTCCTATTGTTTCATACACCCACTTGTTGCATCTTGCCTTAAATTATGCACTTTGGAGCGCCGGAGGAGGATGGTGCAACTAAAATGTCATTTGGTTCCATCGGTATACGCCTCGCAGCCTGAAGGATATCGCATCTCTTTAATAACACGATTTCTCCCTGGTTGAGTTGTAAATGAACCAGCTTTGGCCAGTCACTTCCTTGTCATCAAGGTGTCACGTAGATGGGTTCCTGCTTCGTCGTTAATCATTTATGTTTTCCACATCTTAAAAATACATTAGGCAGTGAGTCACTCTTCCCTGCAAGGAGACTCGACACTTGTTGGGGATTCCCTTCAGCAGTTGGTAGGACAAGATGTTTGCAGGGATTCCCGGTCTTCCTTTTGCTGGCTCTGTCGTTCTCCTGCCTCATGCTTCCTTGCATGGAAGGACTTTCCTCTTGATCCATCTCCTGGTTGTTCCTGTGAACTCGGCGGTGAGTGCGCAGTGGGAGGAAGTGTGCCCTCAAACAAACACAAGGGCACAAGAACTGAGCAAAGGACATCAGAGCAATACATTCTTGTTTTTCTGAACCTGGTTCTTTTCCACTTTGCTCAAGGTCCCAGCTACACAGATTTATGATTCAGCTGTTTTGGCTCCTGCCCGTTTTTATGGATGTCTTCTTATTGCTGAGTACATTTCAGCATTTCTTCCCCCCACCCGCTACTTCTTTATTTTTGCCCTGGATAAATGGGAAGGCAGCCAAGCGAATATTTTCTTGTTTTCCTCTGTGGATTTTCTGTCAGGACTTTAAGCCCGGTATCTGATGGTTTGCTTTCCAGAGGTTTCCTCAGCACAATGCATACACCTCTGTCCCAATTTCAGAAGGCGTTTCAGCGTGGCATATCTAGAGTTACTCCTGTTTTTAGCCTGACTTCGGCATGTCATGTGGTGTCCTCCCCGGTGATAATGTGGCAATGAAAAACAGAGGCAATTAAATGGCCTTTCTTAGGTTGGCATTTTAAGTGCCAGAATGAAAGGGACTGAACCCTGATGTATCGCAGCCGTTAGCTGACAACTCCCCTGGGTGTAACAATAATAATATCTTCTGCTTAGGTAGCACTTCTTCTTCTCCAGAAGAAACCCAAACTCCTTGCAAATGCGGTGTTTGTGCAGCAATCCTTTCGCCTGCAAAAGACGGGCAGTTGTCACGCACGCTGCCATACCTCACAAGAGTTTGGGACAGGAAGGGCTGAGGACCCCCACATCTATTCACAGCAGCCAGAATGGAATTGGACCTGGTCCATCAGGATCACCCGCCTGTCCTGCCCCAAACCCTACAGGACACTTAATAAATGTTGAGTCTGTGTTCCACCTGCAAGACAGACGGCATCCCCAGCAAGAGCTCTGGCCATTAGCTCAGTGCAGACTGTAAAAACGAATGCCTTCTGAACACCACTTCTTCCAGTGCCTTTGTGCTGTCCCTCAAGGGTCTCTCCTCTAGGTACTGGCCAGGCATGACTCGGTTTAGTTTAAAGAACAGGCAAGATAACAGCACAGGATGATTCTGCTGCAGGCGGTCATGAACCAGGAAACCTCTGATGCATGAACTGAAGCACCTGCAGCCCTCTCTTCAAAGCAGGTGGAACAATAGACAATACAGAGGAGAGAAATGTAATCTGCATTGAAAGTATTGTAATAAAATACAAAGTGGAGGGCACACTGTAATTTCCCTGGCTGTTGTGAGTTCTTTAGCTGCTCTTTCCTCTCCCTTGCCTCCTTATCGCATATTTTAGAAAGCTGCTTCTGCTTTCTTAGTATTCATATATATTTTCCTTCTTAGCATTCTGCATTTTATTCTGTCAGCCTGTTGTGTTAAGGCATTAAATGTTATGAAAGATGATGTCAAAGCAACCCCCAGTTCAGGAGAGAAAGGCACTTCACCGAATGCAGTGGGTTCTGTCTAAAACCCATCTGGAAGTAGCATCTTAGCACCCAGTCAAGTCAGGCGGTACAGTCCACATTGTATACCAGTGGGGAAATATAGTCATGGAAGTGAAGGATACAAAGCCCACTGAATTCAATGGAAAGATTCCTCTTGGGTTCACTCTGGACCCCACATCCTTTGCTGTACTCATACAGCAGAACCAGGCAGGAGACCCGGATCCTGAGACCCCCCCCTCACCCCGTGTCCATTGCCCGTAGCCACAAGACCATCCTTCCTCTTCCAGCTTGTAGTTGCCTGTGGAAATGATCCTCTGCAGAATAAGTTTGCTCACCCTCCCAGCAAGTGGAGGTGAGAGGTGCTGTCCATCATCTCACCTTCTGTCTCTGGGATGCTCACTGGCTTCAGAAGGGGTCACTTCTTAGCCTTCTCACTAGCTGGTGAGTTGGATCCTTCAAAGCTGACGTAGATGGGAGGGAAACCAAAGAAGGAGAAATCAAAAGGTACATCTCAGAGCTCTATTTGGGGTGGAGAGAAGCCAGTAAAATGGTTGGCGCTTGCATTGATAGAAGGTAAGCAAGTCCTGCTGCCTACTAAGTAGGTAGGTGAGCCCCAGGAGCTGAATTCCTAGCACTCGTGTCCTTTTTATAATCAATATTTCATTGCCTACCCAGCAACAAAATTATTACACCAAAACAATCATAACAGAATAAACAAAAGCCTAACGTACCAAACCCTCCTGCATAGTCAATTAATAATATCAAATCACTGGCTCGCATATATAATGCAATACTTCAGTCATGATTATGTTGCATAGCGAATTTAAAATATTAAAGTATCAGGTAGGAGCCAGTGCCTTAAGAAGAGGGAGTAAAACAAAATGAATAAGTAAATCAAGTCAAGCCCTTGAAGATCAATTGTCTCCCCCTTCAGGGAGCAGGCTCACCTCCATCAAATGCCTCTCCCTGGCTACATGTGGGGCAAGGGCCCACAAGGCTTGTGCATCAGTGTACTCTTGATTTTTTCCATTTCTCTGCTCTCCTGTTATCCAGATCAGATCCAGGCTGCAGTGTCCTGGGAGCTCCTTCACCAGGCAGTGTTTCGCCTTCAACCTCTCCTAATTCAGCCGCAAGCTGTGGCACTATGAGTCTTGCAGACTTTCCTGGTTTCCATTGCCGTTGGAAGGCCCTTGCTCATCCTGTCCTTATAGTGGCAGGGCATCGGCAGTGCCCTCATTTCCCCCACTTTTACCCCGGGCTGGTTAGGGCGTTCTGGATGTTTTTGGGCATTATGCCTGGTGGTTGCATGAGAGAACTTGTGCAATTTTAAGAGCAAGTTAGACAAACATTTGTATAGGTTGGTTTAGACTGGGATGATCCTGTTTTGAGCAGGGGCCTGGACACAATGAGCTGTAAGGTCCCTTCCAGCTCCTACCGTCTATGAAACTATGAACTAGATGCGACCTTCTGAGGTCCCTGCCAGCCCTACTTTCCCATGATTGTGTGATCCACTCCTGGACACTATCCATGTCCACCCTACAGTGTCACTGTTTCTATTCCTCCCCTTCCCCACCCCGGTGACCTGCTACCCCGCTCAGTCCAGACCTACCCCTTACAAGATTTCCTATGATCTGATCATGTATTTTCAACCTGCCCTGCAGCATTCAAGAAGATCCTGGCTCCTCTCACACGCTGTGCCCTGCTTCCCATCTCAGACCTGTTTCCCAACAGTCAGGATGCTCCCTTCCCCTTGCATTTAACCTTTGGAGCATTAGGCCTATAGTAAGAACCGTCCACCCAATGCTTCTCTTCTAGGTTGAGCTTGCACTAACGACATACTGCTTTAAATAAGCTTCACGGGATTTTTTGTTTCCAAGTGATTCGTTTGGTGCCAAGAGCATACACTTTGGTCTGAGCACAGGTTTGGGGAAAAGAAAAAAAAAATCAACGCCTTTTTATCAGCAGATGCAGGCCCATGACTACAAGCTATTCTGTGGAGAATGCAAGGAAGCAAAAGGACAGTCAAGGTTGTTGCCTCTTGCAACAAGAGGACAATACGTGAATTAGGTGCAGGCACATTAGTCATCTTAAAGGGTCCCAGTGTAGTTCTAGTTCAGTTTTCCTGCTGGAACAGGTTTACTGGTTCTGCTGAATTTGTCTTTATCTTTAATAATAATAATAAAAAGAGCTCAGGAAAGTTAAGGGCAAGCTTTGCAACCTCACCTTTACAACTCCTATAGTGCTCCATTGCAGGCGTATTGTGCCCATGATTAATCTGCCCATCTGTCTGTCAGTGGAGGGGTTATTCTGGTGCCCATCATGCTACTATCTGAGCAGCTTCGATGGAAAATGAACTGCAGGGCCCTTAGTGGGACCATTCTCCCTGACTCCAGTGTGATTTGGATCAGGCTTGTGACCTCTCTAACTATCACTTTTAGGATTGGCTAGGCATTGGGGGGCATCTAAGTAGGGGCTGGTTTTCAGAGAGCACTGAGCACTCAACCTCCCGCAGTCACTTTTCTTTCCGCCTGTAGAACTGACCTCTTCATGAAGGCAGTAAGTATAATCATCCTTGTGTTGCAGATGAAGATGCTCGGGCAGGTGAAGTGACATGCCCATGGTCACCCAGCGGTTCAGTGGCAGACCTGGGAGTGGCACCAGGTCTCCTGAATCCCAGTTCGTTTCCTTAGCTGCTGGATGTCACAGCCTCAAATTAATATCAAGCACTTTTTTTCTAACTGCAACCAGCAAGGGCCTGGCATTTCTTTGTAAAGGTGTCCCCAACGGCATCTGGTTCCTTTTCTCCACAGGCTCCATTTCATTGTTTTCCACACGGAAGAATTCCACGACGTCCTGCGAATATGGGACGGTCCGGTGGAGAACGGGATCCTCTTAAAGGAGATAAGTGGCTCCAGCTTGCCCAACGATGTCCACAGCACCTTTAACTCCGTCATCCTTCAGTTCAATACCGACTTCTTCACCAGCAAGCAGGGCTTCGCCATTCAGTTCTCGGGTAAGCGCCGTGGTGGTGATGTTGCTTTCTCGGTGCTGTTTGGGGGTGGGCGTGGGCTGAATGATCACCCGCCCCTCCGTATTCACTGGGCAGCCTTGAAAACGCTGCTCTGTTGAATGCAGCTCATCTGTGAATAGCTGTAGCAGCACCGTATTCACTGGTCCAGTCATGCGCTGCTGAGTCTGTCTGAATCCCAAATCCCTCCAAATAGAGCAAAATTGTACACCTTGACCTTGTCCCTACAACAGAGAAGAGCACTGTGTTCTTTGGTGCTTTGTCCAGATGTAGAGCAGGGAGCTTGTCCGTGTTGCTCTAGGGCACGTGATTGTGGGTAGCATGAGTGACTTGAAGCCCTTTAGAGGAATTCCTCCCTGCCTACATACAATAGTTGCCCCTGGGCAGCACAATGAAGATTACCCCCAAGCCAGAGTGTGTGGATGCCTCGGGGACAGAGTGCCTGGGCACCGTGACCCAAGGGTGCATGCATGCCACTGAAATCATGTTGTTACTAGAATACTTTCACTAGGATTTGTACCCAGGCAGCTCCTGTGCCTAGGCACAGCCTCTGAGGTCACTTCCAGCCTAGAGGCAACAGCTTTGGTGCCACATACAACAAGGGTGAAACTCTTCCCAGTTCAGAGGACTAGCAAAAGGCCACTACCCACTCTTTTTTAAGGTCATAAAATAATGCAAAGTCTCTTATACCTGGGAACCAGTACAGCACTTGGGCACCAGAGTGCTCTGTGATAACCTTACACTGGCACAAACTTCCTTACACAGGACAAACCTCAAGGGGATTTTGATTTGTTCAAGACATGTTAACCGCTTGATTGCATAGAGCTCGATTGCAGGTCACTCTGTGCAGGAGATGCAGGTGCCCTGACCCCCTGAGAATCATACACTGCACCTTATCTGTAGATGGGCGGGCAGGCCCGGCATATTTTCAAATGACCAGTGATTTTGCTGCCTCTGTATTTGGAGGTCCAACTTAAAACCCTTCATTTTAAGATCTCAATTTGGGCACTTCAGAATTTGAGGCATACCAAATCCCTAGTCACTTTTAAAGATCTTTGCTTTAGTCTGTGTGTGGTCTGGCAGCATTAATGTGTATGGTGCCATTGCATATAACACACAAGGCCTTAATAGCTTTATTGCATAGAGACACTAAACCCTCCAAACCCATTGACTTCAGTGGGACTGCTCATGGTTGACCATTTAAACACACACACGTTTTTGCAGGGTCACGGCTAGCTGGCAGGTAGCGATGGGCTGATTTTTTTTTGAAAGCGTATAGCCAGGCAGTGATGTTACCAAGTAGCAGTAGAGAGATGATGGTATTGAAGCCGCAGTTCTTGTTACTGGTCCACTAGCTGCAGGTAAGAGTCTGTTCCTGGTTCCTTCTTTGTGGCCTGGAGGGGAAAGGACCCTCCAGGTTTCCAGCCAGGCTGTGTCAGTCCTCCCAGGAAGCACAGAGCAGATGGGAATCATAGATGCCTTTGGAAACAGCACTGCTCTTTGCTTGGTTAGCTTCAAAGGCTGGCATGGAGCAGGCCCAGTGAGTGCATGCTTTCCTCATCCATTTTTCAACACCGGGAGGGAGCAAGCACTATGCTCTTTTGGAAAGTTTCTGTCCAGTCCCTGCTCGGAGATTGGGAGTGAGACAAAGACATCTAACTCTTTCTGCAGAAGCTGACTGTAACTTCCCTTTTTGCTCGGGTTTCTGGTCTCAGTCCACGTCCTTATTGCCTGCGACTGCTGGCCACCGTGCTGGACAGGATGTGACCTGAGATTAAACCTGAGCTGAAACACCTGCAGCTAAATAGTCCTAGTGGTATGGGAACATGGTGGACCAAGTCTTCAGCTGGCATCAATCAGAAGTGAAGTCAGGGACCTGGCTGACAGCAGCAGCAGATCTGGCACCTTATATTTCTTTTGCTGAGATGGGTGGAAACTCCACAGAGTTGACCAAGGTTTCATAAAGACAGCAGCCAGACTGCAAGAGGCTCATGTCTGCCTCTTACAGGTCAGGTTTGGAGCCTCCCAAAGGTAGGGACTAAATTCCCCTGCCACTCAGGGAAAGAGAAATCTGCTTGCATTAGCAGTTTGGTTTACACCATCTGTTTGACATAGGATCCTATAGAAATGCCACTTAAGATCAGTGGGTGCCGGGGTTTATTAAGTAAACACGCATGTGCATGATTAGAAATCACACTTGCCCTCTGCACAGCACGCTTGAACTTGCCACTCCTTGAAGCCTTTTCCAGCTGGAAAAACAGATGCTCGCTGTGAAGAAGGAGGCAGCTTGTGTGTGTGGATGTGTAAATGTGGCAATCGTAACAGGGCACAAAGGAAAGATGGAGAGCAAAGAAGTTGTTCTTGTTCCCCCTTGTACCTTTAGTTATTAGCAAGTGAGGTATCCTCATGAGGTAGATTTAGGAGGAAGTGGTTTGATAGCCGAAATGCCAGTCCAGGGCTGGGGAAACTGAGGTTCAGTTCTTGGCTCTGCCATGAATGGTCTCTGGGGCATTTGACAAGTCATTTATTCTCACTGTGCCTCAGTTTCTGCACTGGTAAACCATGGCAATGATAACTCTATGCTGCACAGGAGGGGCATTAGGATATTATGGGATGAGAGCCATATTCCAGCCTAGCTGGAAGGATGCTCACCTCCTGCTCCAGTTTGTGGGACTTACGCTTGAGTTGAAAGAAAATCAGTATTTGCAGCCCGTGGAGTTCTTTGCTCCAGGAATGCCACGTGCTTAAATGGCATCGCTGGGGCTTTAGGACATTCTGGATGAGCCTCTGGGCATTTCTTGCACCTCTACAAGTTAGGAATGACTAGGGACCACTGTAATTTAGGCTCTGGCAGGGGAAAAGATGAGCTCCCTGCAGGCTTGCTGGAGCCAATTTCAGGTGTGTTTTCACGGTGGGCTCTCCCACACCTCTGGCTGAGGGAGCCCACCGGGGAGCCAATTACCATTGAACAGCCGCACACAGGCTGTTCTTCAGCTGTTTTAAGAAAGTAAAGCTCACCATTTATTAGATAACAACTTTTAATTAAAAGCTCATCACTTACAATTCTTAACGAATCCATAATAAATCAACTTTACCAAACAACGACCCTTATTGTGGGAGCAGGCACCCAGCGTGCCTATGCCTGCAGCCCCTAGGGCAGGGGGTGCTTACCTGCTCTGCTCTAAAGTCCCTGCCAAAGCGGGGAATTGAACAACGTGACTGGCTAAGCCCTGGCAGGGGCTGGCCCTGCAAACACCGTGTGTCCGGGGCTCTACCACCTTTCTTCTCCACACTTCAGGTAAGTTTTGGTTTGTTTTTTGTTGTTTTTTTTTTAACTTTTTTTTCCTGCCATCCATCTCCCCCACAGTTTCAGGCCATTTCCAGATAAATCTAAGTTTTCTGGAGCTTTGCAGGAAACGTTAAATTTTGGGCTTTCTCCTGAAGCCTGAATTACAGCGGTCCCTAGGAATGAGCAAAAATCCTGTTTCTGAGAGCAAATGGGTTACCACAGAGAGATGAGAAGGAAGGTTTAAAGTCACGCTCTTCAATGTTTGTATTCAAGATAGCCAGAAAAGGATGGGGAAGCTGAGGGCATGGAAAAATTTGTTTCCCCCAAAGTTTGAAAGTCATCCTTTTGAAAATTAAAATACCTATGACTAACTCAGTGCTTGATAGGAAAACTGAAGAGTAATCGCCTGAAGAGTTGTTTGAAAGGGAGTCATTTGAAACAAAAAATATTTGGAAGGTCCTACCTGCTTTTGTCTTATTTCTCTATGCTCCACTGGCAAAATTGGAAAAGGAAGAGGGGAGGAAAAAAGGGGTCAGGAAGGGAGGAGAAAACAGACAAATGAGCAAAAAACCCTGAAGAATTCCAAATGAAAGACACTTGTGTGATTTTTTTTTTTTAATTTCAGAATAAAATAGCATTATTTCTAATATATATAGCATTTAATGCATTTCTGTAGTGCCAACCCTATGTTTTCTTCAGCTACAAATCAGATACCGAAAATCATGAGACTGTTTGAACATTTAAGAGGAAGCGAGGCATACCAGGTTATTTTTTTTCTTTTGCCTTCTGGTTTCTGACTGTATCACGATGAGCCAGGAGGCCCCTTACAACGTGCCTTGCACCTTTTCCATGCACCTAGGAGGGCTTTTCTGTCTGTGAGAGCTGGGGCATCGCATGACTCCAGGCGCTCGGGCTTTCGGGAGAAATACCAGGCAGCACAAATATCGCGAGCCAAGCACAAGAGCTGCCGACATTGTGATGGAAATGTTTTTCCCAATCCAAAGCCTTTCTCCCATGAAAGGTTTTAACCAGCTTGCACGCTTAGAAGAATGAGCTCATTCCCGGAGGGTTGCCAACCTGTATTTGCTTGTTTGTTTTTAATGCTCCCAGTTTCCACTGCCACATCCTGCAATGACCCAGGGATTCCTCAGAACGGGACCCGGAGCGGAGACAGCAAAGAAGCCGGTGACTCCATCGTCTTCCAGTGTGACCCAGGATATGCCTTGCAGGGGGAGGCCAAAATCACCTGCGTGCAGATCGAGAATAGGTTCTTCTGGCAGCCAGACCCTCCCTCCTGCATAGGTATGCTCCATGCAGTCATTTCTGCGTGTCCCCTTTTCCCAATCTTATTTCATAGATTTCATAGACGTTTGAGCTGGAAGGGACCCCAGTGGATCATTGAGTCCAGCCCCCCGCCCCAGGGGCAGGAAGTCAGCTGGGGTCATAGGATCCCAGCAAAATAAGCATCCAAATGTGTTTTGAAGGCGTTCAAAGTGGGTGCTTGAACTGCCTCAGGTGGCAGTCTGTTCCAGACCTGTTTAGCCACAAGGTTTTGCAGTTCCCGGCCTGTTCATGATCACGTATAATCGTGCAAGTCTAACATAGCCGTTAGCAAACGTGGGGTAAAAAAAGGCCCCTATCAGAACCCGAGGGAAGCATCAGGAGTCTGCTCAGCCAGGTCAGTGAGGCCTGGACCATGGCTGAGCTAAGCTAGAAATCCACTGGCTTACCAGGATGGGCCAAAAAAGCAGCCTGGCCTCTAAGACCAGGTGTTCCCAGGAGCCCAAAAAGGAGGAACCTTAGGTAGTTAGTTGGTTAGGAAGCAGGGGACTCTCTGCACCAGCCTATTCTGTCCTGTGTTGGCATTGGGTTTCCCAGCGCTTCTGTTCTCGGATATTTCTGCTCAGATCGTAAGCACTCTTGGAGGGCAGGGTTGTTCTGGGGTTTGCACAGCACCTGGCACCAGGGCTAAGACTTCAAGGATACTTCTATACCAGGGGTGGGCAAAATGCGGCCCCAGGAGCCGGATGCGGCCTGCCAGGCCATTCTATCCGGCCGACGGGGCCCCTAAAAAATTTAGAAAATTAATATTAATCTGCCCTGGGCTGCCTGTCATGCATCCCTCGATGGCTTGCCGAAACTCAGTAAGCAGCCCTCTGCCCGAAATAATTGCCCGCCCCTGTTCTATACCATATTCCCAGAGAGAGAGATGCTCCCAAACCCATCTGTTCCTGCCCTTACATGCCAAACCTAGAAATTCAGTAGCGGCCCCATTGCAGGGGCAGGGGACAAAGGGATAATGCATTGCAAGCCCTCTCGAGACCTCTTTCTCCAGCATGCTGGAGATTGGTCATGGAGAAACCTGCCCCCCCTTCAGTGGTTTTACCATCTCACTGCCGGGTTTGGACCATGAGGGCAGGTGCATGCTGAGAGCATCTCTCCTTTGGGGTGTGGTGTAGACATGCCATGTATAGGCAGTAAAGCCTAAGTTGTACTACTCAGCTGGAGAGCTCAGAGTTAAACGAGGCACAGTTAATGCCCAGCCTTGGAAGAGGGACTTAGGATCTTGGCTGGATGTCTTCTGCACAAGGATGTAACAAATTCTGATCCCCAGGAGATAATTACCTGACATTCTCCTTGAGCTCATACAGTCATAAAAGAAGCTCATAAAATTGATTTTTTTTTTTTTAATACCTCCGGAACATATAAAAATTGTCATGCTAAGCACATAAAAGCAATAAACCTTAAATTTCCTGGCTAATTAAATGGTAGCCAGATATTACTCATTCTGTAACCTTCATTCATGTTTATGCAATGTTATCCCAAGCAAGTCAAATTAATTAATTCTGTTTCTTAAAACTGATTTAAAGACAGCCAGAAAACTTTTATGGCCTGTCCAGAATTTATGCTTGCTGCAGGACAGCTTGGATTTTTTTTTTTTTTTGAATGACTGTCTTGCAAATCTAGAGAGACATCACTTCAGTGTGATGCAGACAGCCCTTTTACTTGTCCCAGAGCTACAACTAAAATCACGTGGCTGTGTGTCGTACCCACTCTCCCATTGAGTTCCCATTCACATTGGGGGCTGGGATCTGAGCTTTTCTTTCCAGAGAGACGTAGCTCATTCCTTGAGATGATCTGAGCTCTGACAATTCCCCTGGGTTGTCTTCAGTGGAGCTGTTTTATTCAAGGGAAGCCATTATAGTGAATTGTTTTTGAACACAGCATTGACAATCTTGTTTTAAAAGAGGCAAGATCACCAAGAGTCTGATAGCAACAAGGTTTTTCCCTTGGTAATAAAGGACTCAGGCATTGTTGGTGGGCAGATAATGCAAATAGTCCTGCACTTGCTGCCTAATGACAACTCATTTGAAAATGGAAATTTCCCCACCCACCATAGAAAAATTGAGTTGTCACGGAAAAATTCAAATCAAAATATTTGATCCTTGAAAAACGGCTGTGGTGCCTCTTGAGAATTGCAATTCAGGTAAATCTTTAGATTGGGCTCGCAGGTTAGATGACATTTCTCGTGCTGATGAGAGATGGGACGTCATGGGAGTTGCATGGATCGTGGGAGATAAAAGTCCAACCGGGAACCTTTGCCCATTGAAGAGAATGAGAATATGAGATGTGTGAACTGCAGCTGCCATAACGTGCCACGGCAGTGTTTTGTCATCACAATTTGTGGAGGCGGGAGAGGGGTTCCATTTATCTACAAAAAAATAAAATATCTATCTCCCTTACCCGGGAGGCAGACACATGCTAAAAGATGTCAGTTCAGCAAAAATTCAATTTTCCAACCCAAATTCCATTCGTCAGAAAACTTTCAGCTGGCTTCATCTTCCTGGCAGAGAGGCAGGGCAACGTCCTCTTTCCTTAGACACTGATCAGGAACATGCCATTAGAGTGAGGGGACACCTAAGAGCTCGTCAGCTCTGGGAGATGCAAGGAAACCTTTGCAACTCCTGTGGTTGCAGCTTACAAATTCTCAACAGAGGACCAGCAAAGCTGAGGACAGAAACACATTCATATATTCACAGGAATGATTCTTTATTTTTTTTCTTCTTCAGGGAAATGCCATCAACATATGAACAAAACTCCCCTTCTCCTGGCTCTTTGCTCTGAAAGATGTTGGTTCACGGAGCAAATGCGTTATGTAGGGATACACCAGCCATCGGTTTGGCTCTGGTCGTCCTTCTTTATAGCAGCTTGAGCTCCGTATTTTCACGTGGTGCAAATCAGAATAGCTTCATGGCCCTCCTTGGGTCAAAACCAGCTTGCCCCAGCTGAGCACCTTGCCGGCTCGTTTTTAGCAATAAGAGTTAACTAGAGGGAGAAAGTTGGAAAACCAGATACAACAGAGGGGAACAGAAAGTGCTCCTAGTTGTAACCTGGATTTGTATGGTAGCTTGGCAGCAATGCATTGCTTATGCGTATAAAGGATTTAACCCAAATGTTTTTTAAACCTGACTGTGACGTGTGAAGTATCTTGGGAAAATTACAAAGCACATTTACTCCCTCTCTGTCCGTTTGGTTCTCTTCATCTTCTACAGTCCTATGAAAAACAGCCCTGTTTTGCCTGGCAGTCACATAATGGCAAATGTCCTCCTTTCTTGGGTCTTTTCCTCCTGGAAACCACAAGCGCCAAGAGGAAAGGTCATGAGAAAAAGTTTTTCTCGTGATTTTTCCAGCTGGGAGAGGAGAGGTGAAATGCATTTCATCTTAGTGGTAGACAAGGTTCTTTGGGTGAATCTGATGTCTTTTATTAGACCAACTAAATAGTTGGAGAACAACTTTTAAGCAAGCTTTTGGGTTGGTTGAACTATTTAGTTGGTCTAATAAAGGAGATCAGATTCACCCAAAGACCCTTGTCTGCCTGGGTCCTTAGACCAACAACCTGCACCCCTTTATCTTAGTGGTGACATTTGTGTAGTTTCCGGCCTGAGTTCTTCTGGTCTTAGGAGAGCTGGAGGGTTGGGAAGAGACCCTCCATCCACATTCAGGCTCCTACAGCTCATGGGAAGGAAAAAACAACACTGAACCTTTAAAGATGCATTAGTTTTTAGGGTTAATTAGAGGCCCAAATTAGACCCCTAAATTAGACACATCAGGACCTGAGCAAACCCCAAACTGCACAAATACCTGCCCTCCTTACAATGGGTTGACCTTGTTACAGGGTTTCTTATTGAAATACAGCTCTGCTTTCATCTTGCTACTTTATCCTTAGCACTCTGACCTTTTTTTTTCCCATCTGTACTGTAGTACAGGTGCTTTCGCTAAATTATACGAGCTAATCAAAACTTCAGCTACAAGGAAGCCCTGGGCACTGGGGCTTTTGAAGTCTGCTTCCCAATCCAAGTCCAAAGTGTGTGACTCGAACCATACTCTGGCTTAAATCCTTTGGAGATTGGATGGGATTTTCAGTGGAGTTGAAGGGCGTTAGGCAACCAGCTCCCCTAGGCTGCTTTGAAAATCCCAGCCTTTGAACTCTTAAGTTTCTCCTAAGTTTCCCTTGAACGTAAACTCTGGAAAATGAAAGCATCTTTAAGGTTAATTCCCCATCAGTAATACCAAGGTCAGTCTTCTGTACAAGGCACGGGGCCAGAGCTCAGAAGATCTGTGGTCTACTTCTTGACCCTCCATGCTATTTTGGTGTCACTGTGAGTTAATTGCTTCACTATTCTCTGCCTCACTTTCCTCATCAGCTAAATGGGGATGATAAATTCTCATCACCTGCATTAGCCGGTGACTTCACTCCATGATCTTGGAGGCCATTTCGAGTCCTCTGTCTCATGTCCCTAACTGCAAGGGAGAGGGAGAAGAAAGACTGCATGCGCTGATGTTTAAAAATGCTTAGACACTGCAGCAAGGAGGTCTGTATAAATGCCCACAAGATGCATTTTAAAAGTTCTTGCTGAGAGTTGTTCTCCTAATCTGGGTGTTACCCATTTGTCTCCCAGTCGGCGTCTGCATTACTGCGGGGCTTGTTATTGCATCAAGCCCACAAGCTCTGAAAAGTCAAGGATTGCGCTACTCCCCCTGGAAATCTGGAAGTGTAGGTCAATCCAAGCAACAGAGGGAAATCCTAGAGGATCTACCCCCAAGAAAAGGACTTCAAGAGTTCGACAGTAATAAATTAACCATGGGCAATTGCCACTGTGCAGAAATGTTACGGGGGCACTCTCAGCTTGGAAAAAAAATGGATTTTTCAATCAACTTGGCATTTAGTGCATTGGCAGCTGTAATAAATACAAACAAATCATTAGTCCCTGACAATGTGCGTATTCACTTCTTTAGCAGGAGTTTAGGTTGTGACTGAGAGCTGCCTAGATGTATGCAATAAGGGGGTGTAAGGCATCCTTTTCCTCTTAACTGTTTATCTGTACGTCTCATCTTATGAAGGCTGCCACAGCATCTGGGGCTATCTTTTACTATATGTATGTGCCATGCCCAGTCCGGTGGGACCTGAGCCCGAGGTTAGGCCATGAAACAGTACTGTAACACAAGTGATAATCGCTCACCTGGCAGCCTACCTCTGGCTCCATATTCCTCTGTCTGTCTCCATCCACTCATTTATATCCCCTGTCCGTGTCTTCATCTGTCATCCCGTATCTCTCGGCCACTTATTTAAATCTCCTGCCTCCAAAATTGCTAGGTAACCTTAGTCCAGAGCTCGACCTTTAAGTCTAAATTGACCATCATCGGTTGTTTTTCCTACCTGGCATGATATGCAACATGTGATTTTTTTACCCTGTTGGTTGCTTGCTCCTTCAGCTCCCTGCGGAGGGATTTTGACGGGACCATCAGGAGTCATTTTGTCACCACAGTATCCAGAGCCCTATCCCCCGGGGAAGGAGTGTGACTGGAAGTTGACTGTCTCTCCTGATTACGTCATTGCCCTGGTATTTAATACGTAGGTATCCAAGTGCAAAGCGGCTGCTTGCTTTTACTCCTACAAGAACCTGTGGGCAACAAGGGATGGAGCTAGTGAGGTTGGCATGTGTTTCTCTTATGGTCACCCTGAGACTCATTGGATCCATCCCCTAGCAAAGCCCTCAGTTTTCCCTGGCCCATGGGCAGCATCAGCCCAGAGGTAACACTGAATCTCTCGGGGCCTCTGTTCCCCTCCTTTTCTTCCTAGTGCCTGCTTGGCCTGCTTAAATGTTAAGGTCTGTGACGCACGAGATCTCTCTTTGCATGGTTTCATACAGGACATTGGGGCTGTGCTCTTTGCTGCACCTGGAGACGCTGCCCTTGCAAATGCAATCATCTGAGCGCCGTTGTTTTCCAGGTTTAATCTGGAGCCCGGGTATGACTTCCTTCACATCTACGACGGGCCGGATTCACTCAGCCCCCTGATCGGGAGCTTCTACGGGTCCCAGCTGCCCGAGAGGATTGAGAGCAGCAGCAACAGCCTGTTCCTGGCTTTCCGAAGCGACGCCTCTGTGAGCAATGCGGGATTCATCATCGATTATACAGGTAACCAACCGGGCATAGTCTAGCTGTGCCCACCATTTGTCAGCCTGCCTGATGCATGGAATTCACTTCTTCTTAGGCCCAGCTGCCTGGTTGTACCGTATGGGGGGGGCCGTGCCCCGTGAGATATGGGAACCTCTTGTCCCAGCATCCATCCTGCATGGCTAAGCCCTTTAACAAGCCCGCCAGTGAGAGGGCTTCAAGAATGGATAGGAGTGGAGGGGAGAATTAGTTCAAAGTTGGCCAGATGCCTCTTACCTCCCTGATTTGTAGTTTTAGTTTCCAGAAGGTGGGAACAGCCCTGGGATCCTGGCTGCATTGGAGGTTTGGGGAGATGACTGTGGCGGGGTGCAGAGATCCCACCTCAGGAACACAGCTGGGTATTCGTATCCCTCCGCTGTTTCCACCATGTGAGGCGGGCCAGTAGGGGGTGCTCCTGCGTCGAGCCACCCACCTCCCTGCGCCCAACCACCTTCCAGGCTCTGAATGCCTCCCTAGGGGCGCCTTATGTCCGGCCGACCCCTCTCCCAGAGCACACTCGCTAGTCTGGGGGTAACGTGCCGCCACCACCCCAAGAATGGACTGTCTCGCGGCCCTGTGTCCTTGGGGTAACACAGGCCTAAAGTCCCACGGGTACTCAACCCAGTACAGGCACTTGGGGTACTTCCCCAAGTCCGGGGGCAAAAAGGTATAGTCTCCCTTAGTCCACAGACCTAAGGGGTCTCTTAGGCATAATTTAGACCCACCCCTCAATAAGTCTCCCACACCAGTCAAAAAGGAGAACTTTATTGATTACAGGGGGTAGGGTAAACTAGGGTACAGGATAGAGCAATATCTAGAAATCCTAAAGAGCAAACAGTCTGGCTGTGGTAGCCTTTTGATTACGCATCTGTGATACTTCCAGCTAAATATCTAATCAGATTGAGTAGCTTACTCACAAGCATCTTCCAAAGGCAGGTGAAGTTTCCCTTTGGAGGCAGGCGGTTCCTAGCTCGTGAGTTTGGGGGCAGAGAGCCAGTTTCAGATGTTAAGGCTTCTCTGTGTCCCCTGCCTGGCTGCTGCGTCACCTCATGGCCGGAGAGGAGAGACCGCCTCCTTCCCCATCCTAACTTATATAGCCCCTGTGACCTCATTCACCTGGGTCAGCAGAGGTCAGCCCCAGTTGGCTGTCAGCCAACCAGTCTGAAATGCATCACCTGTTACCGGGCAGATCCCAGCTCCCCAGGTAGATGCCCCTCACCCAGGTACCAGTCAGGTAGGCAGAGGGAGCAGGTTTCCCCCTCCCTCAGGAATGCAGCCAGCTCCAGTTCCCTAAAGAGCCAGGCTGAGGGTGTGGTCCCCTAATTGAATGGTCACAGCACAGAGATTTAAATCACAGTGTCACAGGGCAGAGATTTTTGGGGAGAAACCAAGGTGGCTTTCTGCCACACAGACCGCTCTCAGAGCTCGCTGAAGAGCCAGGGTTGCAATTGAGTTTTGTTACTGACTCTGGCATCTGTATTTGCACCAGTAGCAAAGGGTGGGTGGGGAAGGCTGCGACAGGGAACATTTTCCCATCAGCTTTGTCTCAAGGTCTTTTCACCCTGTAAGGTGAGCTGGTCCAAGGACAAAAGGAGCAGCTGGATTTTTCTGGTACTAAGATCTGGAGGAGGCTGAACCAGGATTCCTGGCTTCCCTTCCTGGGTCTTTCAGGGATGCTCTTCCCTTTGGACAGGTCACTTAAGTTCTTCAATTCTCCATTAGTAAAGCACAGTGATGATGACCCCTACTCACTTTTGTCAAGTGCTTTCAGCTGTAAATGAAAAGCCCCAGACATGAGCTGGTTGTGATCAGTATGCTTTATTATTCGGTATCTCACCTGCAACAGGCTTTTCTGTTAGATTCCCAGGGGAAAACATGGGCTCTGACGAAGTCAGTGTTCAAACTCCCATTGCTTTCACTGGAGCAGGCTTCCACTCCCACTGCTTCCCGGTTGCCCAGTCTTTGCTCTGCAGGATGGGAGCAGGTGGGCACATCAGGTCCTCATTTGTCTTATTGCCAAGAAACCAGTTAATGGACTAGGTTCCAACCAGTTTGCCTTCAACAGAAGCTGTATTTGGCAGGTGCAACCCTTGCTGTGCATTGATTGTGGGATCAGGTCCTTGTTATTATGTCCATCCTACTAAAGAGACCCTGCCCTGTTGTGCCGGAGTCTCCACACACACATCCGGAGAATAGTCCCTGCCTCCAAAACCTCCTTTCTTAGCTTTGCACATTAAAACAGGTCCAAAAATTAAAGAAAAGAGACTTCACTAAGCTGAGTTTTTTGTCTGACTCCATTGGCACCGCATCTTCCCTTCCTTTCCTCAGCCTAAATTGATGTGATATTCCCCCCCCCCCCAGTATGTCTTACCTAGTACCAAACCACTTGGCTGTTAGCTTGCCAGGGTTTCCCTTGCTGAAACACCTGCCACTTTGAATTACGTACAGTATTTACCCATAATAAAGTGTGTGGGCCTAACACAAACCATCCCTGTTCTGTGGGCAGCGTGGCTGCTGTTCATGCAGATGTAGATTGCCTGATTTGTGCTCTGCTGACAATGAGGGACTCGTCCGTATGCTGCAAGTGGCTGGGTGTTTCTCCAAGGCTTTGCATTGCTTTGTTTTATTCTACATCTGCTCCCCATGCTGTGAAGTTTCATGTAGAGGCCAGCTACATTGCTCCTTTGGATTACGCTCCTCTCTGCCAAATGCAGGAAAGCTAGGCTGGCTTTCCACAGGCCTGCAGGGGCTTGGAAGGGGTGAGTTGGCAGCCTGTTCAGCCCCTGGACAAATAATGAGATGTGGAGGGGATTCTTCACAATGTTTAGCACTAGTTCTTCGTGTGGAGCAAAGCTCCAAAAGTTGCTGCTTTTTCAGCTGGAAATATTGGGCTTGATGCTGCTGGCAGACAGCATGTAGAAGGGGGATCTTAAGCAGCTTTGTTTTCCACAGGCTCTGCCATGGAGGGATTTCCTCCATTTACAGCCCCAGGACTTGTCTGGGAAGAAGTGAAGAGCTATGGTGCAAGGCTCAGCCACACCTCCATTCCCCCCTTAATAATCCAGGCTGAGAGATGAGTCAGAGTAGCGTCTTTCATCCTGTACCAGCGGAGAAGGCCATATGAATGGGGGGAGGTGGTGGAGAGTCTCTGCTCACTCGCACCCCACTGTTCACCTGCCAGACCAGCAGAAAAGGGTCTTGCTGCTATGGTGAATTGGGCTTCCGGTAGTCCGTCTTGGGTGCATCCAGATGAGCACAGCCATGCGGTATGTGGAGTTGCAGACCTGTTTGCAGTGCCACGTACAGCACAGTCCGGTGATCTCGGAGGGCACGCTGCCTGAGTGTGTGCTGCACCAGGTATTTTTTTGCCATGGGTTTTTTTGACCCCTGGAAATCCAAAGCAATGCATGCTCAGCCAGCGTGCACTGCTGAAAAGTGGAGCCGGTCCACCCAGAGCCGTGCTGCACTGCCAGCCAGGCTCTGCACGGCAGAACCGCCGCAGCTGCGGCCCTGGGAGTGCCCAGGACCCCAGGGAAAGCTTCTGGGGCCAGTACAGTGCTGGCCCCAGCCTCCTCTACCCCACCCGGGGTAAATCTGCACAACAAAGCACGTGTGGCATGGGCGTTCCGCGGGGACAAGAAGTGGCAGCACACCCAGGGAACCAAACTTCCATGCACATCTGGATACTCCCCATGTGTCTTTTAAGAAAACAGATAGAAAAGGTAAGAATCATTTTTCTTTTCAAGGTGGATACACAGACAAAGTCTCTTGGGGGGGAAAAAAAAAAGTATATTTCCATCCACATTCCCTCCTGTATAATCTTTCCCTTTCCACAGTGAATTTAAATAAACCTGTCCCCTCTTCTCCACTTTTCAGTGAGCAGAACATGCTACTTGCCACTTCATTTCTGATTTCAGTGTACAGAGCGCTGGAGGAGGTTGAACTGTTAACGGGGTGTTAGGAGTGCTCCATGCTGCCTCAGATTACAGATTTATTCCAAGAGGCAAGAGAGGTTTTGTCCAAGGAGGCAGGGACATGCCTACGTGATAAGGCACCTGAGCCTTAACGGATGGCGCTACCATTCAAAGGTTTACAAAATTAATGGCGCCACTTTCTCAAGATGAAGATCACAGAGAAACATCCTCCGTTGGTATTGCGTGCAATTGTGCTTGATCTATTTAAAGTAATCCACAATGCTGAGCGGCTTCATGTGTCGTGTTCTGGATTGCAGGAGTCTGCCTTATTTTTCACAATTATACTAGTGTGTTGGTGGTGCTACAGAAACAAGGCAGGTTGGTGGAAAAGAACTAGGCAGGTGATCTTCACTTTTGGCTTTTAGTTGATTTAATTTGCTGGTTCTCCCAGCCAAATTCAGGTCTTACCAGAGGACTCGGCATCCACGGTGGAGGGCAAATTGTCAAAAGTGCACCATGTATTGGGCCCTAGGTTTCCTTGGAGCTTCCATCCAGGAGTGTCACAGTGCAAATTGCTCTTTGCTGAGCCCTTGACACTTTGAGCTGCATTTAGATGTCCAAATGGAAGCTGGGCTCTTGAAAATCTGGCCTCAAAGGCTAAAGTCTTGCCTAGTGCTGAAGTACGGTTGTGATCCCCTATGTACTCTCAGCTGGTCTTGGCAAGATCAAGTCCTAAGACAATGTAGTTGCCTTTGCATTTCCAGCAGCATAGGGGCATGTCATTCGCACAGATTTTCCTCTGAAAGTTTTAGTTCATCAAATGTAACATCAAATGTTACTGGGTTGTTGGTTGTAGCCGTCTTGCTCTAAGGACATAGGCAGTCAAGGTTCTTTGGGTAGATGCAATTATCTTTTATTAGACCAAGTGAGCAGCTGGAAAAAAGAAAAAAGTTGGACAGAACTTTTTTCCAGCTACTCAGTTGGTCTAATAAAAGATATCACATCTACCCAAAAAACCTTGCCTGCCTACATCAAACCTTATGCACTCGCTAGCTGTAAATCACCATG